CAAGTGGTAGAGCGCTAGCTTTGAGCTGAAGAGCTGAGGGACAGTGCCAAGGCCCAGAGTTCAGGCCCCACGACCGGACCCAAAAAAAAAAAAAAAAGAAAAGAAAGGTATCAGTTGCCCAAGATGTTTTCACTAAACTTATTGTTGAATTTTAAAACTAACTTTTTCCTTTGGGTTATCATGTGCACCTACACAAAGGAATATCTGCTACCTTCCAATGATGACTTGTACAAGATTCTGTTACTATAAAACTAAAAGATTAGCCAGGCATCAGTGATTCACTGCTGTAATTCTAGCTACTCAAGAGGCTGAGCTCTGAGGATCATAGTTCAAATCCAGTCAGAGCAAGAAAGTCTGTGAGACTCTTTCCTTCAAGTAGCCAGCAAAAAAGGTGGAAGTAGAGCCATGGTTCAAGTCGTAGAGCATCAACCTTGAGCCAAAAAACTTAAGGGACAGTGCTTATGTGCCCTGAGCTCAAGCCTTACCACCAACATAGAAGATTAAAATTCATCAGAAAAATCTAGTGATTGTCTTATTCTCCATGCTGTTTTTTGCTTTAGCTTATCCTTATGTGGGCCGATGGCTGCTTATGTGAATCCTCATGGATATGTGCATGAGACGCTTACCGTGTACAGAGCCGGCAACCTGAATCTCATAGGCCGGCCTACCACAGAGCACAGCTGGTTTCCTGGGTAAGAGGATGGTGATGGTGTTTTTTTTGTTGTTTTGGTTAATGGGTAGAAAACCCCAAAGTTCTAAATAGAGTTGTTAGAATTACAATGAAAAGAAAACAGGCATGACATGAATAACTTAAACAGCCTTTATCCCATAAATAGACAAAAATGTCTTTATGAACTGTTTGCATAGTACCATTGAACTGAATATATGGAGAAAAAAGGTTAACAATTACTGTTGTCCTGAAATTACTATATAGCTAATCCAAAGTTACTCTCTTCTGTTAGCGCTAAAAATTAGCTGTTTGCAATGATGCACATAATCTATTTGTGGATCATATTCTATAGTAATATCAAATCGAGTTTTCCTAATGAGATACAGAGAACACTGAATTCTTTTTCTTGTACTTACTTTACTTTACCCCAGTGGTTCTCAACGTTAAGAGTCTCGGCAACCTGTTAATTTCCTGTTATATTACCTTTAATAGCTAGCCCTATCACATTCTGTTCCACATATGGAGTCAGCCTTTGCTTTGAAAGAACCACAGTAGGAGGTGGTCAAGGCACTACAGGTGGTCCCGTATCAACAGAGCTTCCAGTCAACTCTTCCTAGTTAAACTGTTCTTTGAAGATAGCAAGTTGACTGAGACAAACGTGTATGTGTGCAGGTGGGTTGCTGTTCCCCAACTTGGTACACTACAGAGCAACAAAGGGAAAATGTCTTTCCAGTGGAAGAAAAACCGAACCATAGCTTCAAATAATATAGCTTCAAATCATTAATACGGCCAATTATACATGAAAGCTGATATATTACCATAGGAAATGCAAAAGTGACCGAATACTTGTACAATGTTTCTGTGAAGTGGTATGGTTTAAATCCCATGTAAGTCAGGCTAACCTCAAACTTGTAAATCCTTTGGCCTTGGTCTCAGACACTGTGGCCAGTCTTTTTAATTCTTCGAATTTGGCTCTTAAGAAATTTCTATGCAACAGATTTCCACGGCAGCCTTGGGTACTGAGTCATGCTTCCTTAGCTGCCATCTTCCCTTCATTTTATAGGTATGCGTGGACCATTGCCCAGTGTAAGATTTGTGCAAGCCACATTGGATGGAAATTTACAGCCACTAAAAAAGACATGTCCCCTCAAAAATTTTGGGGGTTAACCCGATCTGCTCTGTTGCCCACAATCCCAGACACAGAAGATGAACTAAGCCCAGACAAAGTAATACTTTGCTTGTAAATGGATGTAATATGGTAGCGGTAAAGATATGATCTGCTTTGGAAATTGCCTTTGATGCGTACACGTAAGTAACCAGCAACATTATGTATGAAGGGTTACAGTTTAATTCATCATGCATTGGCACCAGTCATCTGAATGATCAAGTTCCAAGCTAAGGTGCCAAGCACAAGTTTCCTTTTGAATGCAGCAAGGCAGCGTACGTTATTTTTAAAGGATTCTGTTCTTCTCAATTTTCCTTAGCTCATACTGATTTGTAAATTTTGAAAATATTAAATATGAAGTTTGAGTTAAAAATCCCCATTTCCTTTACATGTTTCTTGGTGAAAAGTTTTTACTTGTGCATTTGCACTATTTATTTGAACTATAACCCTAGCTCCTAAAATGTTTAACTTAAACTACTATGGGGCTGAAATAACACTGTATTTTGCAATCTATTTCAGTTGATGTAACTGGAAGAAAGTGTGTAAGTAAACTGACCAAAACTAAATTTAATGTTCCTTATTTAAATAATGTAACCTATTCACAACTGAACAATGGAGGTATAAGAAATAACTAAGATAAAATCCATAGATTGCACCTACCTCTTTGCTTATATATATTTGAAGGTTTACTGAATCCTTTTACAGCTGTGTAACTTTGGTCTCATATCCTTCACTGATTTACATAACTCAAAACTAATCAGGTCAAATGTCTAATCAATTTCTAATACTGAGGCCAAAAACGGACTGTTAACTTTGTGTCAGTAAATGAAAATAAACTTCATTTGCACTGCATTCAGGACTTATTCTATCCTAATTCTGCAGCAGGAACTGAGGATCAAGCTTCAAAGCCAGCCCAGTCAGACCAATATGAGACTTCTATAACCAGCAAAAAGCCAGACATGGAGGTGTGGAGCTCACATGGTAGTGACTGCCTTGAGTTGAAAAAAACTAAGTGAGAGCAAGAGAACTTGAGTTCAAGTCCCAGAATAGGCACACGCACACATGCACACACACACTTCTAGGACACTGCATCTCTGCAGACAAGTCAAAATACAGGCAGTGAGGGAAAAGCATCTCCCCTTTTGCTCCTCAGAGGCAGCATCTCAGATTCGTAGTACTGCCCAGAGACATCTTACACACCACAGGCTTCTGTAACAGTTAGTTAAATCTACATCATATAGAATATCCTCGTAGTACTTAAATGTTTTCAGATATTTTATATTGCATTTAATTACTAACCTGGGTAAAGTTGTAGTATAAACCCAGTTACCTTCCAAAACCAAGGGTAATATTTTACTAAAATAATGAGACTGTACAAGTTAACTTCTCCGGGCTTCACACACATAAAGCAATCCTTATAACAAATAACAAACAGCTCCATACCAAAACACAAATTGCTAGAACAAATCCACTATGAATAAATGGGATAGGTGTTTTACACAGATTTACCTACAATTATAGGTACCAGTTCATTTTGGAATTCAGATAAACTGAAATCTTATCAGTGGGCCAAGCAGCCCATTCATCTCAATGCGCAGAGTATTAAGCACTTCTTTTTTCTTTTTTTTTTTTTTTGCTGTTTTACTTGAGTCACAGCCAGCCTTTGTTTATACTTTGCTTTTGAGACAGGGTTTCACTAACTGCTAGTGAGCCTCAAACTCAGTTCCTTATGTCTCCACCTTCCAAGTAGCTGGGATTACAGGTGTATACCACCCGGCAAAATAATTTAAAGTCAATCCTAGTTTTTCCCTATGGAAAAACCATTTTTATTTAAAAAGCATAGACAGGTAAGTCAGAACCTACTCCAAAAGCATTCTAGGATTCATTGATACAATCATATTAAGAGGAGGTAGACTCCATTTCAAGTCAGTACCTGAAATGCAGTTTCACAAAGTAAGAAAATTTTTCTCTTTTAACTCTGCTATAGCTTCTTAAATCTCAGACAGGGGAAGACGACCAGTCTTACCAAATGTTTATCCCTTTTGAGTACCAGGTCATTCTAGGTCTTCTTTATGTAACTTAGGAGTTCCTCTTTTTCCATTTGGTAGCCACTTTTTTTCCACTGTTCACGCAGTTGCTGTAACAAAGCACCGATTTCCTTCCCAGAAGAAATGCCCACTTTTCTAATGTCGTGTCCGCTCACGGGGAAGGGGGGGATGGACCACTGCTCCATCTCCTTCAGGAGACCGCGTTCACCCTGGTACTTCAGCAGCTCACATACTCGGGCACTTGCATCTGGCTCTCTGGACTAAGTGCAAACAAACATTAAGTTCACCACACACGTTACAGCCCCCATTAATGGTTTACCCGATATTTAAATGACAAATACTCTACGAAAATTACCATTCCAAATAAGTAACACTTAATGAATAAATTCTGGATTTTATCTTCCAACTTTTCTGCAAGTGAAGACTACTTATTTTTGGACCAAACCTAGTGTATACTTACATCTATAATGAAGTCTTGATAGGGTTTCAATGGTTCTGAACTGTCTGATGCTTTAACTAAGTCTTTCCTATTTTTAACTATAAATAAGCCAAGGTTTTTCTCTTCTTTTGAAATCTTCAACCTCAAATCCAATTTTGTGACATCATCTTGTACTTTCAGCAGTGAGGCCAAGATGGTCATTGGCTTTGCTGAGCAACCTTCAACATTTTTACTGACTTGGTTAAATTCTTCTAAACTTGAGGGTGTAGGCAAACCTGCAGGAACAAAAATTTTTTTCTCCTCTTTTTAGTGTTAAAAGACCAGTCAAATCCTAAGGCAGTTTATGAAAATGCCCTTTCCCAATGACTCAAGACTAAAGAAATGGCCTGAAGTTCCCTGATGTGTGATCATCCTTGGTCAGTATTAATCATAACATCTATTGATCCATAAGGCATCTTAAAAACTCAGTAGATAAGTGCTATTATTTGTATCCTCCTTTTCTTCAGAAACTAACAAGTCACAAAGCTGGTGTCAGTTAACCTAACCTAATCAAAGCCAAGTCTTTTGAGTTACTCCTTACCTGTGATCCCAAAGATTATCTTGGAATTTGATTTCTCCATGTGGAATTTTGTAACTATATGAGTCAAAACATTTTTACCTTAAGGATTTTTAAACTAAATGTTTCATTGCCAAAAATTTTAATGTTTTGCTGGGCACCTATGGCTCACTCCTGAAATCCTAGCTACTCGGGAGGCTGAGATCTCAAGATCATGGCCAGCCCAGGCAGAAAAGTCCCTGTGAGACTCTTATGTCCAATTAGTCACTCAAAAACTGGAAGTGATGCTGTGGCTCAAGTGGCAGAGTGCTAGCCTTCAGCACAAAAAGGCTTGGGGACTGCGCCGAGGCCAAGTTCATACCCCACAACCAACCAAAGAAAGTATTTTTTAAATGTTTTATAACTTGTTCTCACCTATATGAGGAGCCACATCAAGATCATAGATTAGGTGAATTAAGTGGTTTACGTGGTTACCAACAAGAATTTTTTTCAATTCTACCCAAATCCGCTCTCCTGATATTCCAGCCAAGCCTTTTGCATTTTCGGCAATTGCTTCCAAAGTCTCAGGGTCATGCTCACCAGGTTTGTCCACAATTCTGCCGTAAAACCTAGAAAACAAAATCCTCTAAATGCACCTATACTGGCAGAACAGCCAGAATTCTGTTTCTCATTTTTGCATCTATTGAATGGAAACGAATTAAAGCATTAGTCATATCTCCACCTTTTTCTTCAGATGTACAAACCCAAGATTAATTACAATGTAAGTAGCCTCCAAGTCAGTAAGCACTAGAAGCCTGCGGACTCGATTTCACCAATAGTGACTAAGATGCAGCTGTGCTGCAGCAGGTAAAACTCATGAGCCCCATGAAGGCAGATTTTTATTTTTCTCTCTCCCACAATCCCTCCTTCCCTCCTGTGTCAGATAGCGGTGCTTGGCATGCTCACAAATGAAAAGAAAGCATTATTTAATAGAAAGGAGAATGGACATTTAAAAGGTGCTCAAAAGCGTGTGTTTTTTTTTTTTTTTGGGGGGGGGTGTTGAACTGTCGTGGGGCCTGAACTCTGGGTCTGGGCACTGTCCCTCAGCTCTTCAGCTCAAGGCTAGCACTCTACCACTTGAGCCACCTTCCTAACACCTCAAAACCTTTTTTTTATAGCAAAAGATCATAATAAATGTTGTATGAAAGTAACATGTACATAAGACATGGATTACCTCATCACCAGACACATTTGGGATGTCACTATTTTGTAGATCTACCTGTTTGGTTACTGTACACAACACACAGTATTAAAAACTGTTTCTAAAATTTGCAAAAATTCTTACCTGAAGTATCTTAAAATCCGAAGATAATCTTCTTGTATTCTTTGATGTGCATGTCCTACAAATCTAACTTTCTTATTTTTTAAATCTTCATAGCCATTAAAGTAATCGAATAAAGTACCATCAAAGCCTAGTCATTTAGAAGGAGGAAACAGAATCATTAACAATCTTAACAAAAATAAATAAATAAACTAAAAACTACCACAAACAGGAGAAATTCAGCATGGCTGTTTATCACATATAGTGACAGTATACATCACTACTAATTCAGAGACAGAGTAAACAGCTGTCCTTACAATTGAAAGATTATATCTCCAATAAGAACCTAAAGCAATGTGCCAGATATGTATAGACTGAGGATGAGAGGAGAACACGCTCATATAAAAAAACATGAATAGCCAAAATTATATGGGAAAATCATAGGAGTGGCAGGGGAATCCACAGGGCAGTTACTTTGTCATCCTGCAGCAAGAAAGACCTTTTAAACCTTTCAAACTAAATATCAGAAATATCAATTATGCCTTCTGGAGTAAGGCATAAAAGTCTGGCCAAAACAAAAAATCTTAAGCTAAGAGATACTCAGAGAAAGACCCCAAAAGTCAGTATCAATAGAGACAAAGGGCCAATTTCCATAGCATGCAAACATACAGAAGAAACGCAGAAATCTGTAAAATGAGTGTTTTCAACAGTGGTAATAAGAAATAGGAAGTAAAACAGTATTAAGTAGAAATAGTATTTCCCAGGTTTCTTTCCCACTGGTAAATTTCCAAGTGTCTGCTACTACCTGGTTCAGGATAGGTTAGGAGACTAAACCATGAGAGCCTATTATCCCTTCACAAAAATGCTGTACTGTAAACAAAACAATTCTCACTGGGATTTTCTTAGTTATCAAACTGCAAATCATATCTCATAGGTAAACTCTCAATCCCAAACAGACAACAGGTTATCCCCAAGACAGAGAAAAGCAACAGGAGACCTGCCAAGGGGGCAGGCAGGTGACTGGCCCCAAGAGGCACTTCACTGGGTGGCATCAGGGACAGGGCACTGCTGTTACTACTTGTGAAGAACAATCACGTGTCCATTTAATTCTGTTTGAACCCTGAATTCCTTCTGATTATCCGCAAAGTACCACTCTGGGCAGACAGTGCTTTTTTAGTGCAGCACACAGGGTATTTGCTAAATGGGAACTACCTTGATATATACGGGAAATTACAGGCTCCAGATTCAAAAGTGCATAGGCAAAATATGACTAAAAAAGGCAAATATCCTATGTCTATCTTACTGTTATGTGGTAAAGAATGTGTGTTGAACATACTGGCAGCAGAAAGGCTTTTTTAGTAAGATCAACATAAGGGGGCCAGTGATGTGGCGTGACCAAGCACGTACAGGACCCCAGCTCCAGGGGGGGAAAAAAGAAGAGGAAAAGCATCCCAGGAATGTGACAAAAACAACAATAACAACAACAAATGTCTGCAGCAGAAAGGCTAAAAAAATTCCTGAGCTGAAAATATAGTATGATGCCAATATGAGTTTTGTTTTGCTCTGAATCTTTCTTTTAAAGTATACTAGTAAAAATGTGAAACGCAGCTAAGTGGCTTATGCTTAAGAGCATAAGCTTTGGAGACAGTTTGCGTTACAACTAATAACACTACAGTGTACAGGCTGCATACCTTTGAGCAGGTTATCAGGAGTTAAAACAGCACCAACTGCTTCAGAAGGTTGCTGGGAAAACTAAACTATGTTATGAGTTTAAAATAGGATTCAGCAAATGTTTAGAAACCTATAGTAAACCTACAAGGAAACCATTAGAGAAGACTGCACCATGTGAGTAATGCTGGAAGAAGTGGATACTTGAAGCTTTGGTTGTGTAATGGAGGAGGTGTGTATTGCTGGGCTCCTTTTCCAGTCCCGCGTTTAATAGTAGAGTTTGGAAACCCAGGCTCTAACCTGGACCAAGTTACATGACATCTGCCAGTCTCACCCGCCCATCTTAGCCTACTCTAACCTAATTCACCTCTAGCCCTTTGTGAGCACACCTTCATTAACAAAGAACTTAAGGACCTACATGACAAATAGGCTTCATCTTAACATACCAAGGCAGACTTGTGATTCCTTAAGATGCAATGCTAAGAAAGAACTTGAGGTGTGTGTAGGTGGAACAGTAATTTGCTTTTTGCTGAAGTCATTCACCCCAATGCCAAGGCCCTGCAGGAAAGGATGGAGAAGGAGCATGTGTGTAAATGGCAGGGCCCTATGAACACTGACAGGAAGAGTGTGTGCATGTGCACATATATACATTTTTCTTGCACTGTTTAGATGCAGTTAATAAATTAGCAGATGAAGGTGTGAATGTGTCAGGCACTGCTCCAAGCATATACAATCATTAGCTCCCTTAATCTTCACAACAGTCCTACAAAATAAACTAGCATTAACACCTGTGTGTTTTACAGCTAGCGAGTAATATAGTGAGAATCTCAGCCAGTATTTTTGGATCTTGTCAACATGATATGCTGTCTCTTAGAAGAGATGAATGCCACTTCAGTTGGAGGACATTCCCAGAATGCAAGTTTCACTTGAAAAGAAGGCATATTCTGATAGATCACATTATCCTTGTATTACCTAGAAACATGGAGTTTATAGTGAGGTCTCTGCGTTCGGCATCTTTCTGCCAGTCAGTTGTGAATTCTACCTCAGCATGTCTTCCGTCGGTTGTGACATCGATCCTTAGTGTGGTAATTTCAAAATTTTCTTCATGAAGCTGCAATTGAATATAAGACTTTTTAAAAATTAGTTTATAGCATCACTAAAGACTGGAAAGCTTCCCTGAGACAAGGTAATACAGTTGTCTTTAAACTCAACCAGTATAAAAACCTTGAAACAGAATATTCAAGGCCATATCCAAAGAATGATACCTTTTTGTAAAAATAATTTGAGTTTATAGGCAAACATGGCCACTGAAAAGCAGCATGATAGGTATAAAGGGCTACTCGAGCTAGTTTTTTTGCCGGTGTCAGTTTGCACAGAGCTATGTTAATACATGCCACACAAAGGCCTGTCAGGAATTAAGTATAAGTAACAAACCTAGGGTCTTTACTCGTCATCCCCAGTGAGGTTAAGGTGATAGGTACACACACTCTGGGGAGAGAAACTGCCTCCAGCTGGGAAGGCTAAGGGACTCTAACAGTGACACAGGAGCTGAGCCTTAAAAGCTGATGTGGACATGTAGATGTAGACAGAAGCACATTTCAAATAAAAGCATGTCCAAAGACACAGTACAGAGGGAATTTTTAAAAGGGGAAATCTCACTGACAAATAGCATTCTACCAGTAGTCAGCAATGAGGTTTTCTTGATAAAGAATTTGGAATTCACAGGCAAAAAACTGGGATTATTTGAAGTCTTCTAGGATTCCTCACGATTTCATACAAATTCTCCTCCAGATACACATTACATTCTCACTATAAAATTTTATTTACGAAAGGAAAAGGGAAAAGAAAGGGCTTGAACTAGGGTAACTATACACTGCAGGACTGCTCTCTAGTTATAGTGAAAACTCCTGCAGATTCCAACACTTCTAGTTGGCTAGCACGTCCCAGGTAGAATTACGAAGCCCTGAAAGTCATTTTGCTGCAGCACCCAACTGCGATGACAGCCAAAGAATTTTAAGGAAATGAAATGAAGACTTTGTTGAAACAACTACCACTGGGAACCTAAGGAAAATAAGAGAAGTGACTACATCTGACACAAGCATAGAAGCTGTAAAATAAGTGGTCATGTGCCACATCGTGACACTGGACTGCATGTACCAGTGGTCCTGGAACTGAGCAATTCTACCACAGCTCTCATTCATCACGGAACACACCATACTCCCCCGTGTCTGTACTGGTGTAAACAGACCCGCAGCACTGCTAGGAGTTTAGACCTATGCACACGCAGTTATGTGCAGTACATGACTTAATGATGTCAAACTGAGCGCTTCCTCTAATAGGGATTTACTACACTGTGCTTTTTCTGGAGTGTACTTCCTTTGCTGGAAACCAGCCTCAGCAGCTCCTAGAACACACTTTCACACACGATGACAGCTCCGTGTGTCACTGCTCCTCCAGACTGCAGTGGGCCAAGTTCCGGAGTTAAGACAGTGAGTGACATCATGACCGGACCCTGTAGAGCCAAGGCGAGTGCTGTGCACTTACTTGTTAATCCAAAGAACAGGAAAACACTTTTAGAATAAAAGAATTTTTTTGTGTACTGAACAGTATGTCCAAGTTAAATGAGTTAAAAAGTTTTAAACAGAAATAATGCTCCACAGTGCACACCTATAAACAAAAGTGATACAAAAGAGATGTAATGAAAAATCAGAGACACACTGGGAAAATGACCTGCTGGGGAGATAGGGAAAGACTTATTTGCTGTTGGGAGGGAGTACAGTCAGAAAGCTACACAAGAAGTCAGTAGATTACATTTTAAAAATGCAAACTTCAAAAACTATAGCATGCAAAAACACAAAATAAAACCACTTGTGGAGGTCAAGTCATTAAACTTAGCAGTGGCCACAACACACAAGAATGAAAGACTTAGGGCAGAGTAGAAGACACTGCTATTTTTAATTAGACATTTTGTTTCCCAACTATAAAAAAACTCCTGAACTTTGAGTTAAGTAAGCAGATGTTCACACAGTGCAGTAAGTATCAGCCTGCGACTCACCCTGGCTGTGATTGTTCCGTGCTTCTCTCCCTTGTTGTTGATCATCCGGATGCCGGCTGACTGAAACATCTCCTTCATTTGGGTTGGGGTGGCAGTGGTAGCAAAATCAACATCTTGAGGTTTCACCCCATTCAGCAAATCCCTCACGGCTCCTCCTGCTATTCTCAGCTCATGATTCTCTTTCACAAATAATTCTGAAATGACAGCGACAAGATTTTTAGTACAATGTGTTTCAGTAATGACAGTGTGTTACCGGAAGTACAAAGTTTGGCCATCTATTGGGACAGTTTAGACCATGTAAGAAGGGCTTGCTTTTCATGCAAAAACATGAAGAAGGTGGAAGACACAAAGTGGCTGTGCTGTAGATGCCTGAGAACCATGGGAAACAGAACCTGCATGACTTTGCTGATTAAGACAACTCGAAATTCTACAGTGCCTCACAATCATGATTACAAATATGAATTATAGTCAAAGAGTAAAGCAAAATAGAAAAGCAAGTCTCCTCCTAGTTCTGTGAATAATATACAAGCATTTCTATGCATGCAACTGTCAGGCCCCTTATCATAAGTGTTGCCACCAAGATCCTTCAATAGACAACCTGTGAGAATATTGCCTGAAATCAATGCACATGGAAAACTACTACAAACAACCAACAGGTGAGGACAAGGCTTCTACAACTCTGGCCAGTCTACTGAGAATGATGTCCACAGCTGGCTTCACACAAGCTGGTCTGCACTGTTACAAATTGGCATTCTGCAGAATGTGTTCCAAGCACATCAGTCAGGCAAGGACATGTTTGACCAATAACAAGATGACTGGCATTACGTTACCATCAAGTGCTATCACCCAGCAATGGTAATGGACCATAGCTACACAGCCAAGGAAACCCTGGCTAGTACCTGAACCATGTAATTCAGAAGTGAATGACCTTTAGAACTTCGGTCTTATCTCTAAGGAAATAACCTTAATCTGCCATGGAAATGATATAGTTCAAATGAAGCAGAGGGAAAAAAAACAATCTGGCAAATCATGAACTGCTGCATTATATGATTATGACAAACTATCCTAGCTTCCTCGATTTTCTCTGCTGAAAGCTAATCGTATATGGGGACAAAGCAACTATGACGATTTTAGAACTCATGACAGGATTTAAACTGCACCATGCCAATTTTCACAGAGGCTTTAAATATGTCTGTCTGCACTTTGTTTTCACATGGACATTACATTATGCCAGGGCACCCAATCCTACAAAGTAGTTAAGTTACTTGCTGAGTTTACTGATAGTGTTTGAAGTCACCTTCAGTACATATCCCTCCATAGTGTTGTTTCACAGACAGAATCCTGAAAACCACTTCCTGTTTTACGCTACTGAGGTTCTGACTTTAGGAATTCCAACTTTCACAGTGAAGAAAATAAAGCTCAGAAACTCAGGTTTTATAAATCATAGAGTAGTACTAAAAGATGTTAAAGAAACTGTAGTATTTGGTATTTACGGCAGAATGATCAGAGAGAGTATACTGCCAAGAATATTTTCCGAGGAGACTCTTGCAACAGAGGGCAAGACTGAGGAAGGCACAGCCATAAAGAAACAGTTCAGTCAGCCCCAAATTGGTGATGTTAGAGCTGGTCTCTTCAGACAGCGCTGCTCACCACTTGCAGTTACTGAGCACTTAGAACATACTTAAGTCTGAATTGAGACATGGTGTTAAATTTGTTCCAGGTTTGGAAGTCTTACAACAATATAAAAAGGGGGTCAGTCTGATACTGTATATCCATGTGTGAAATAAGCTGAAGCCCCTTTGAAGAGTTAGCAAACTCTAAAAAAAAAGAAAGAAATGTAAAGCAGGTCCTACGACAGATGCTAAGGGGGAGAAGAGGGCAAATGGGGTGGGTGAGGAGGGTGACTATGGTCAAAATACATGTAAGTGAAAATGGAACAGTGAAGCTTGCTGAGATCAGTTTGGGAAAAGAGGATCAGGGAGAGTTGGGGGGGGGTGATCAAGACATGTACCATGAATACCTAGACATGTCAAAAAATAACCTTGGACAAACAAGGGATGCTGATAGTGGGGGGAAATGATGTAGCATTGTTCTGTAAATTTCACACTCGTGATCGTATCTTGATGACAGTGGACTGAATGTATGTTTTACTCAGTTCCTTCCAGTTATGTGTTCTGGAAACACTGGCAGAGACATAGCGTTCCCAAGTACCTCTTCACACACTAGGAGGAGGCAGTGTGTCAAGGAAATACAGCGGATCCCATAATGCATCAGGAATCTAGTACTTAAACCATCCTACAGAAGAGCTAAAGGTCAACTTCTCCACTCGTTGCTTTACTCACAAGTCTTCCTTTTGTCACTTCAACAACAGCAATATTTGAATGTTGGTTTAAAAAAAAATTCGTCCACCCTGTGTCTTTCCACCTAAGGCCTCTCCGCTTGTTCCAAAGCCAGGTCTCACCTGTCAGACTCTTCAGTCCTTCTGTGAAAAGGGACTGGAATTCCGGAGACTGCAACTTCATGGTGCACAGACAGCGCTTCAGAAGATAGAGGCTGCTCCAGCCCGCGCCGGGTCCCCGCCTCTTCCAAGGACACAGGAGCCTCAGCATCTGGAGCAGTGGCCACACACCTCGACCAGGCGGGCCGCGGGTGCACCGACCGAGCTCCACGCACTGAGCACATGAATGACACGCAGTGTTACTCACCAACTGCGAGGAACTCGCCTCCCCGTCCAGAGGCAGGGCCGCCCCCGCAACAAGGAAAAAAAGCCAAGCAGGAGCCGCAGGCCCCAGAAACACGGGGGACAAGCACGTGGTTCCCGTCCGGGGGGCGGGAGGGAGGGGGAGCAGGCCTCCAGGACACGAACTGGATCCCCCGACCCTCGAGTCACCCCGGATTCCCGACCCCCCCCACGGAGACCTGGCCGCGCACGGGGGCTCTCAGGACCCCGCGATCTCAATGCGGGGCAGGCGCGGGGCAGCGGGAGGCCCCGTCCGGCCACGTGGACCCGGGAGCTGACTCCGCCCCCCTCCCGACTCCCACGCGCTCAGAAACCCGCCCCGGACCCGAGCCCCGGGGTCAGCCCGCACGGTGCCCCGGACCCCAGCCCCGGGGTCAGCCCGCACGGTGCCCCGGACCCGAGCCCTGGGGTCAGCCCGCTCGGTGCCCCGGACCCTGCACGGTGCCCCGGACCCTAGCCCTCCCCGGACCCGAGCCCCGGGGTCAGCCCGCTCGGTGCCCCGGACCCTGCACGGTGCCCCGGACCCTAGCCCTGGGGTCAGCCCACACGGTGCCCCGGACCCGAGCCCCGGGGTCAGCCCGCACGGTGCCCCGGACCCCGCACGGTGCCCCGGACCCGAGCCCTGGGGTCAGCCTGCACGGTGCCCCGGACCCGAGCCCCGGGGTCAGCCCGCTCGGTGCCCCGG